TTATAGACAATTTTGTCAGCTTTCTTTAAAACTGTACCTATTACAAAATTAAACTGTGTATCGAGTCCTTTTTATTTTGAAAGTCTATCTTAAGTTATTAAAAAGTTATTGCAATTTTAAAAGTGTGATACGTAGTCTTGCTGGTCAATTTATTTCATAAAATCATAAAAAATCTCATGAATTTGCAGAGAAAATGGCGGTACGTGCGAATCCGCGTGCGGCCCGACGGGTCGTAACCGCAGCCGCGACCGTGAACGTGCCGCTACCGGTGCTGCCACCGCTTTAGGTTTGTATTGGACACCACACACGCCGTTTTTTTTCTGGTAAAACGGAAAATAATAATCCCACGAAAAAAGTGATATCAACGCACTTGATTAGTCAGTTCACAAAAGCAAAAATTACATTCTGAATTTGTCAAGTCAGTTAATTCGGAGTCTGCTTTAACATAAAAGAGTAATTTTCCAAACGAGGTCTCGTCCATTACGTACTAAATCAATTGACTTCTAAGGATCGAAACCCTTTACCACCTCTCTTTGCATCCGTATTTCATAATGTCTGGGAAAGGCGTGACGCTATCCTCGCCACCGAGAGAACTCTGCCCCGCTCAGACCGTCCATAGGGCCATTCGCCTAACGGGATTGCTTAGGAAAACGCTATTGCTTACGATTTCATTTTGTTATTTCTAGCCACCTGAGGTTTTCAAATTCCTCGCGCTCTTTTTTTTCTTTTGCATTGGTAACAATATTAAAGAAAATGAGCGTGAGGTATTTGAAAACCTTCGGCGGTCAGAAATAACAAAATGAAATCGTAAGCGATAGCGTTTTCCAAAGCAATCCCGTTAGGCCAATGGCCCCCAGGTTAGGGTTCGGAGAAATGACCTGAGCCTTAACAACTCGATAAACTAAAACTCTATATAACGAAAAACCTCGTGCACCGGTCAACAGATACGCACATATAGACCGCAGGCCCCAGAAAGCGTGCGTTTTTAAAGGAACAATATTTTTACCTTACTGCCGCCCCTTATTTAAATTAATCACCTTCTTCTCTCCGCATCATAACTGGGACACTCATAATATTAAAATTTGCTGCACCCCACAGCATCACATCAAAATTTGATATCCACAAATCAGTTTTAGGAGCCGAATTGGCTGCACCAGGGAGGACGGGGCGCTACCTGCTGCTGGACAGCATTGGGCCCGGCTAACGTACCTCCCAAATTTTTATTTACTACCCCCTCCCCCTTTTCCGCATGAGACTTTCGGATTTTTTTTTTACCGAAAGTCGTTTATTAATCCTCCCTTTCAGTAATACAACTGGCACATTTTATAGAAATATTATCGACCCTTTAAGTGCTCCCCACTATCCTGGACACGAGGGAAGTGAAATACTCACTCCAACCCAAAACCCATTTCCCTGACATTCACAAATCAGTTTTAGGAGCCGAATTGGTTGCCCCAGGGAGGACGGGGCGCGAGCTGCTGCTGGACAGCATCGGGCCCGACAGCCTCGGGTCCCCGCCTGCCAACGTACCGCCAGAACTGACCTGCATCAGCGAGGAAGGTGGCCTGGACCTCGACCTGGACCTGGACATCCCCGACCACCTGCTGGAGGACCTGGACTGCGGCGGTGACTGTATCACTAGTTGTAACAAGGTAACAAAATTATTATATAATTTGTTAATATACTGCCAGAATGGACTTGCATCAGCGACAAAGGCGGCCTGGACCTCGATCTGGACCTGGACATCCCCGACCACCTGCTGGAGGACCTGAACTGCGACGGTGACTTTATCACTAGTTGTAACAAGGTAACATTAATGTACCGCCAGAACTCAGCGAGGAAGGTGGCCTGGACCTCGATCTGGACCTGGACATCCCCGACCACCTGTTGGAGGACCTGGACTGCGGCAGTGACTGTATCACGTTATTTGACATTGTGGGTTACCTACAATGCGAAGAGATGGCGCTGCCTTGCAGCCTAAGAAAGGCAAGAGAAATTCGACACGGCCATCAGGGCCGCGGAAGCATAATGGTCGGTGCATTCGAACGGATAGCGAGGGGTGTGGGTACGAGTCCCGTCTGCTGCCTGGTCCGCGTGGACATTTAACTAGTAAAATTTTTTTTTCGAAATATTTTTTTAACTGCGCAGTGCGGCAGTTCACCCTCTTGTGCCCGGCTACACCGGTAGCACGACATGCTCCGGTCGACCCCAGATGGACGCCTCTGAGCGGTATGCCATACCCAAGCACTTGCAACAGTGTCTCGGGAGGGGGCCAAGAACCGTCACTGTTGCGAGGCCCCAGTCCACCTTTAAACCTCTCCTTTTTGTCGTCCTTCTGGCGACTCTCATGGTGCCCCGAACAATCGCTGTTCCAGCGCTACCCAGCCCATGCCGGATCTCCACGACTATCACCTTCTTTTGATCGCAGCCCCCCTTTGTCACGACCGCCTTCACCAGCTCCGCAATTGTTATGGCGTCGTCTAAGCCGGAGATTCTGAGATCCGCAGTTTTATCCGGTCTGCTTACCTCCGCATATTGGGAGACAATCCCCCCCAACTTCGGCCCCGGTACCAGAAGACGCTGGTCCGAGTATGGCTCTCCCGAATTTTGAGGCCTCCCTCAATCCCCAACGTTGGAAAGGAGATGGCCGCCTTCGCCATCTCGACTACGTTGCAATAGGTAAGACCTATTTTCTCAGCCGCAGATTTCAGTTTCAGGGCCACCAATGTGGTGCTCGGAACCATCAGTCCCTCCTTCGTCGCCTTCACCTCTTACATCTGCTGGATGGCCTGGACTGCAACGGCGACTGTATCACCAGATGAAACAATGTTTCTAACATAGACAAAGAATATGGACTGAACGAACTCTGCCAAAGTATAAAGCAAAAACTAATGACAGATGTGTGAGAGTCAAAGCGATCGGGGGAGGGGGGGAGGGAGTAATATTCGTAAATGGTGTGTGACTCCACCGCTTTCTCGCTCTCTACAGAGTTGTCAATTTCACGCGTACAGTCTATAAAGGCATATGCCCCAGCAGTGGGGATTTTAATAGGAAGATATTATTGACACGTACATAAGGAAATGATGCATACTACACTATAAGTGCGCGAGCACACGATGCGTCGCGGCGCCGGACCGCAAAGATTTCGCCGCATCGGTGGGCACACGAGCGGTGCGGCGCCGCAACGTTGTTACGTCGCACCGGCGCGGCCGCGGGCAACCCAGCAGAATATATTCTCTTTGACGCATAAACAACTGAGCGGTGCCGCTCCAACGCAGCAACGCAGTCACCCCGCCCCACCTCGTCTCGGTGGTTGCAAGTCCGGTGCGGCGCCGGAGCGCATCGTGTGACATGCCACAGATTATTCTTTGTAAGACGACGCAGCGACACCGCTCCGGCGCCGCAACGCATCGTGTGCTCCCGAAGCAAGATCTCAATTACGAGTATATCAGTACATGTTATTGATTTGAATATTTTGAGCCTTTTCAGCCCGCAATGTCCAAACTTGATTACTAATATACATTATAATTTTTGTAGAGACGATTCTCATTCGATGTATTAAACCAAATGCTTATTTAGGACAATTGAGATTTCCACAACAATATCTGTTCTCACACCTATCAAATTATTTCCAGGTCGAGAACTACTTAATGCTCAGCGAGTACGAGAACAACCTTATAGCAGAATTGCCCAACCTGAACGAGCGGCGTAGTCGACGGTGGTCAATTGTGGTTTCAAATTCACCACAACCGTCTCACATCACCCAGACGCCCGTTGACGATCATGAGACCTCGCCAGAGAACCACACCAAGAAGTCCATAAAGTGGAACAACAAAAAGTGCCATAACGCAAACAACAGACTGATAACGGTGATCAACGAGGCGTCACTGTAGACCCGTCGCCACAGACTTAGATTTAAATAGACGCATGTGCTTCAACTTGTATGAAAACCGAGCGTGTCATATTTAAGGACACAATAGGTGTCAGAAAAGCATGGACCCTGGCCATCCGTTTCAATTCTCTAATTTTTTCAGCTTCATATGGCACGATTAGATTAATTATAAAAATTGCGATTGACGCCCAGTACCGATAACGGTGACGCGAAGAAACAATACAGCGTTAAAGGAGGACTATCGGTCACCTTTTTGACAAGTTTTTGGCACGCGAAGTACATGCACTTGCGGTATCTATTTCGATCTATGTCTGTGCCCGCCGTAGTGCATTACGATCGAGACAATAATAGAACTTTTAACCGATTATTAAACCTATTTAACCTCATTAATTTATTTGATGTGTGTGAATAGTAGCGTTTGTGTATTGTTCAATATAATTTATTAAATTATTATAAGTTGAGACGTTTTATTGGAACCTTTGATTCGATTAATGAGTTCAACTCCAAACAATTCCTTTATTTTGCTTCCGAAATACGGGAGCGTTACTACCCTCCAGAAAGAGGGGGTGAATTCACACTCCACAATTTGATGTGATGTTTTATTACACTACTACCGGGTGCCCGAGAAAAATTGGAAAACAAACTTCCATCCCCTTTTTTAATCCCTTTAAAGGATGATTTCTGGGATAAAAAACTATCCTATGATAGTATATATATGAAGGGCATATGCCTTTATAGATAGTATTTGAGTCCTTTCCCAGGACTCAAAGTATCCCTATACCAAATTTCATCTAAATCGGTTTAGGGGTCAAACCTTATACGAGTACCTACATTATGTCCCTTTTTTCTGTGGCTGTTTCCGATTTACACAGAAATTTCGCCAATGTCCCGTAGTTATTATGTCCCTTGGTAAACTTTCAAGTATCTGAGTAAAGTAGCAAAGTATCAGCCAGAATATATATTTTCTGTTTTAGTGGATGGATTATATGGGTAGGCATACTTTATTTTTCTTATCAAAAAACATTGAGAACATTTAAGCTTGCATATCATCTAGTCTTAAGTAATGCAAATCTTGGATTGGTTTCCACGGGGGAAGCAATTGAAACAATTCTTACAATATGATATTGAAATATATTATTGACATTTTTGTAATAGACAATTCTTAAAGTAAGTAGGTGAATACTGCACCAAAAAATATAAAGGAACACAATATTTAATACCGTTGCGGAACTACAATGTCCTCTAAGAACTGTGCGAAACATCTCATCGCCTGCAACAACGCAGCGAGGAGTATCGACAGTGATAAACTAACTAATTTCTGGCTCTCGGAGCTCACAATTTCGTTGTTCACAGGAACTAAACTTTGGCTAGTACCTACGTTATTATGTATACTGGGAAGATTATTTTCGACCTTATTATTTATACCCGCTGTCTCTTCAATTTTACCCTCACAAACATTATTGACATCACATGTCAGATCTATCACAATAAAGTCTGAAACTTTGTTATCACCTCTATCATTATCCAGGTTAAGCCCGGCCTTATTGACAACCTCGTGAATAACACTTACATTAGTAACATTGTTTGAACAACAAGGAATCTCATTCCAGTGCTCAGCACGGAGAGGATCACTAGATAGGCACTTTATTACTTCAAGTTTAGCGTTTAAATTTGAACTTAGATTACTTACGTGTTTAGATGCACTTAGAATTAGTTTAAGAGAGTCATCGTTCTCTTCTGAGGACATACCACTGTCGTTATCCACTTCTTGTTCCATTTTTGATTCGACATTGTTCGCTATTTTTAAATTTGTACTGCCAAAACTACCGTAGAAAGGTGAGTTGGGAGTGGTTTTGTTGGCAGCATGCTTTTGTGGCGTGCCCGGTGGGGGCACGGCCCCGGGTCAGGAAACCTTTCCTGATGTGATGTTACTCTTTATTACGATCGGATTGGTGGTAAACTCTTGGGTCCCATAAAGACTGTCGACGTCTGCCAATGATTCATCGTCTAATGAACAATCATCGTCAAGAAGCATGTCTGATCGCAGTCCCTGTAATTAGAGAGAAATAACAAAATTTAGCGAATAGCGGCCGCCTGCGACTTCGTCTGATAAAAAAAAGTATCCTATGTCTCTTTCCAGGTTATAAACTGTCAGTGTGTAAAATTTCATCCAAATCCATTCAGCCGTTTTTGCGTGATTGAATAACAATAACAATAACAAACAAATGTTTACATTGAAAATATTTTTAGGATAGGATGATACGTCTTTTGACTCTCGTCGGTTAAAAAACTCAACCCACCAATGCGAATATAAAATTTGCTGCTCCGACCCAATTCTATTGAACTTTAGCATGGAAATGCCAATCAGAGTATAAAAGTAGTCCCATGATGGTTGTAATGTAAAATCACCTATTTTATTGGGTATAATCAATTTCACTCTGTAGAATCGGAGAAATGAAGCCGTGATATATTTTAACGTTATACTTGCACTACATTAAGTACAAAATCAAATTAAAATGTACTTGTTGGGTAGCAATAACGTAGTGAATATTCCTAACCGACCACCTTAGCTGTGGGTGGTGTTTTAGATCCATCACTAATTTAGCAGCACGCAGCACCATTAGATATGAAGAAAATGGGCGATAAATTGCACAAAAAATAGAAAAAAATCATCATCAATCATCAAAATCATCTGTACCTGCTTACTGGAAAACACAAAATACCCGCTCACATAAAAAACGAAAAACATTTTAACCAATTTACGAAAATATTGAAAATATATTTATTAGACAAATGCTTTTACACCATAAATGAATACTTTGTAATAAAATAAATTAAGTGAGGCGATCTTTAAAATACAAACCTAGATTACTATATACTAATCATGTTTATTGACATATTATTTTATTTTTATTGATATATTTATTAATTTTATTTATTGACAAAATTTAATTTTATAAATTAATTTCCATATTAATAATTACAAAATGAAAGTACTAAATTAAACTACTAAATAAAGTAAATGAGATCAATTGAATAAGTTATATTATAAAATCAATGAAATTAGATGATATTAGGTTCTTCATAATTATTTATTAATTAAATTCTCTTTTGTAATTTTTATCTATAAGACACTACTATATTGCGATACCCTGACAGGCTGCATGTTAGGTACTTTATGCATTTTGTAACCATCAATGTAACCACAGTAGTGCAATAAATTGAATTGAATATCTTTTGACAATTACATGGACACGTTACTGATATTCAATTTGATTAATTAGGATCCACTTACTGGCAATGATTACTTAACATCGCCTATACAGACTAATGACATAATACAAAATTCCCGCAAGACTACAAAAATAAATTGTTTTGATTGAAGGAAAGAAAACAAAAATTAGTACGCCAGCTGGTGTTATCTTTTTAGATGCAAATGATAGAAGTCAACAGAGGAAACAGTTTCGGTAACTGTTATAAGCAACATGAATAAAATTATGGATAATTGCAAATTGTTTATAAATAATTGGTTTACGGAATTCCTAAAAGCAAATGTAATACAAAAGTTAAGACACGAGATATTCGTTAACAAGGTTCCAATATTTTCCTGCTTGGTCATTTACTATGCGTCCTATACATAAGAAGGTTCAAGGTTACAGCGAGCAATTACAAAAACTGTTCTCAGTAATTCGCTGCGGGATAGAATCAGAATTGTAGAAATCAGAGGAGACCGACATTCGACATCGCTCGAAGGATTGCAGGACATTTCTTTATGGTAGAATTTGGAAGCGGTATTTCTTCGCTTGTACACATATTCCGTCTTTCCTACAACCAGCAGTATTTTAAGAGGCATGAAGAAACATTTGTGCTTGTAAGGCACCAGTAAGGCGAGGATGACTGGTAAGGGCGGTAAAACTGCTGCACCTTCTGGACTCTCCCACCACTTAAGATCAGGTGGGGTGAAGTTATTTGCCTACCGAGTCATTAATAAAAATATTGATCTACACTCAAAAGTATTAGCAACTCACCAAATTTCTGCTTGTCTTTCATAATCCCGATATGAAGAGTAAACTAGCGTATTAGAGAATAACTGAAGCAAATAGTTATATATTCGATCTAATTAAGTGGGGACCCTGGGGACATGACTGTTAGGGGGGGAAGTTGGAATTTACGAGTCGACGTTTGGGGCCCACATTCAGTTATTCTTTTATGTTATTAGGTAGCTAACTCGGTCAAACGATTAATCGATAGAATTCGTACCTACCCCAACCTAATAACAGTGTCGGATGATACTAAGATACGGTTTCGGGACAGAGGAATGCGCTCTGTATATCAATATAGCGCTTAAAATATAAAATAAATACGCTTTCTGCTTTTCTTTTCAAATGCTTACTCCTAAACCACACAACCGATTTAGATACTTACGGTACTCACTATTAGTTAGAAATTTTACAGAAGATTTATTTTATTTATTTCAAGCTAAAAAAAACTTCAGTCTTTCTTACCGTTGCGAAGCGAAAAAGGGTAAGTATTAGTTATAGAGTACATAGTTTATTATAAATTAAATAAACTTTGCAGGCAGAACGTATCATATAACTGAACATAGTATGCATGTAAGGCTACATCGAAAGATGTTCATTGATTTGTGTTAAGTAAACACAGTTCAGATTTGAAGATGGTTGGTGCAATGCAATGCATTATTATCGTTATATGTGCTTTATTACCGATCATGCTGCATTGCCCGGATGACAAAAAAATTAGGTGACTTTCGACCCTGGACTTAGGAAATATTAGGTATTCAATGTTCAAAAACCTTGTTGGTTAACTATGGGAGTTACTAAAGAAATACAATTTGTGAAAAAGACACAATTGGAAATTTCTTCATTCAGAAGTTTAAATACATATTATCTAGGTATATGCTAGTCTCCAAAATAATGATATAGGTAGTCATCCAATCGCCATCTTTGCAAAACGCTATTTATTTTCCTAATCTACACAAAGTAGCTAAAGGACATTGCTCGTTCCCCATACATTAAATGCCCTAGAACGCACAGCAATGAGAAAATGCTAGTTGTGTTCGGAATCATTCATAAACTCTAATTAGGCATTTGCTGAGATACGGACAACTTGAGGAACCGTGGCCTACTACAGAATGTATTAGATTTTGAGGTTATAATTATTACACTTAATTGAAAAAGATGTACACTTTATAGATTCTGAATAGATTTAGTGTTTACCTCTATGTAAGCACTTAAATAATATGCATTAAATGAACAAAAAATGGAATTAATAATAAAAATAATAAATGCTTAAATTCATATTGATTATTATGAGTGTTGGCAGTTGGCACCTATGATACCTATACCTACCTGCTGTAATAATAGATTTCTTTTCAAATGAAATGTTCAAAGTCTTTTCATTTACCTATTTCTATATTTTACTATCGGTAATGAGGTATGTACCTGGTTATCATTATGATTTTCATAAAAATAAACAGATATTATATGGGATGGGAGTATAAACTATTTTACATAATTTCAGAAATAATCTTTTTATAAATATAATATAAATACTAGTGATAAGTATTATTAACTAAGGTACCGAGTTCTATTGTTATGTTGTTAAATACGTATGGTCGCCTATATTGCGTTTATTAAGATAAACAATCTTGGCCCAACTTTTAACAAAATCACCCATTTAAAAATAAAATAATAACGAAGCCAATAAACTATTAAAATAAATCGTTATTATAGACTGAAACCTATTGAATCCAGTTATCAGTTGATTTTTAATGCTGTATTTTCATAAAAAAGGAGTGCCAAGATTGTTTACCAAATAGGACAAGTTAGGATGAACAGACTGTAGTATCTAGTAACAGAACTTTTATTTTCTATTTTTTTAAACTGTTTGTCCGTTTTCATGATTAATTGCTAATAAGTTAAAAAAATAATAGTAAAGTACATTCTATTGGGCATGCTAGGGCCGATTTCGTCGATGTCCTTTAGCAATTTGTTTTCCTAATAAATGAGTGTTATGAGTTTAAATTATTTAAAAGGTGCACGTACCTCAGAAAAATAAACATATTCCTTCTCGTAGGACAATATGAACACGCAGAATATAGCGGCCAGCATATAACTACACATGGAAGTGATGAGAAGACACAGGTATACACCGCTGGTGCCGTCTGCAATATTATTTTCAATATTAATCATTTATTGTAACTTATTTCCTCATTATGAATTCTATCGCCAATTAAAACGCTTTTGCTATGTTTATTGTTTGTGAATGTTATGTAATTATGTATTTGGTGTTATAATTAAATGTTAATCTATCATCTATCGTAATATTGCTGTGATGGCGCGAGTGGTTAACGCGTTCCGCTGCGGTCGTTGAAGTTAAGCAACTTTCGCTTTCCTTTTAGTCGGTTATAGGATGGGTGATCATAACTTTACTATCTCGAGTTCCTCCGAGAAGGAGAAGAACTACAGAAGGCAGTTAAGCCCTTAGTCCCGGCTTCATCTGCAGTCGTTGGCGCTCACCAATCCGCACTGGGCCCGCATGGTGGGACATGGCCTATTCCATTCATAGGAAAGGCCTGTGCCCCAGCAGTGGGGATATTAATAGGCTGATGATGATGATTCTAACTTGATTTTCTCATTGTGAATTCTATCGTGATATTTAGATAAGAAAAACAACGAATAAATACGATGATCAAAAAACTTCTAAATTTTCTGCACTGACCGGTCGGAAATAAAACTAGGCCTATCAGTCACGGCAAATCACCGTGCCCGAAACATTTAACATTGTTGAAATTAGTATTATTTGAAATATTATTGAATAAGACTTTACCTCTTGGTAGAAATGATGTGATGGTACCGAATACCGCCATCACGATCAAAAGAAGGAAGCTCAAATTGGCAAGGCATTGCCTTAATATTGATAGGTATTTGTCATAATATAAAGTGGCTATGTATGTCGTTATAATGCACTGAAACAAAGAAACACGTTTATTTATATATTTTTTTGAAAGATCTTACAAAGTATCATATTTTTTTGGGCAATTAACAAAAAAAATCTGATTTTGCAAAATAACAGATAAACAATTACCGATAAATTCTAAGAATGATCGAACAGTATAAATAAAAGCTAAAAAAATCATTTTAAAAACATAGATATCCTTTTTTAAGATGTTTCGTAACTTGCCATGTATGTGAACGTCTAATCCTCACGTTTAGCGTGTTTAGATGTTAATGCATGATTACCTTAGGCTTAATTTATACCGCCGCGGAATGAAATGGAAGCAAATTTTTGCAACGAAATTGTAAATAGCATAATGAACTTTATGTATGTTTCATATCATAACATACAATATTATAGTAGGTGCGAGCCAAAAAAAAGTCACGCGTCTTCCGCGGAATCCTCGCGCATTCTCGAGAATTCTCTCGTATTTAGTTCTCTTAGGGTCAATTTATACTAGCGCAGAGTCGAAGTGCATCGAAGCGTAAAATCCTTCACAACTAAAGCGAAGTTGTACGAATGCGCGCATATTTGACGCTTTTATGCAGCAGCAGTGCTATAGCATCACTTGCCAGTTGACTCTCCACCACACACCAGCGCAGGCTAAATTCCGACTGATGACGCGTAGGTTTGTTAGTGATCGCACCAATCAGCGTTGTTCACGCGCAGACGCGCGAATAATGTCGAATGTGCGCGCGTCTTTTTAAATCTCCGAAGTAATGTGTGCAGTCCGCTGTGGAGATAAGGTTGAATTTGTTATGTTAAAAAATGGATTTACGCTTCGATGCGCTTCGACTCTGAGCTAGTATAAATTGACCCTTAAAGAAATTAAATTCGCTTCCATTCCTTCCTCTGTGTGACGGTATTTATTAACCCTTACTTTAAGTTTTATTAATTTTTAGAATTCGAATTTGAAAATTTTACACGGCTGAATTCAATTTCCGATCTTATTTAATTGAAACTATTTTTGTTCGGTAATAAATTAAAATAAAATACGGATTTAAACAAGCAGTATATTTTCACTTGATCGCCTCTAACTCACTGAATCAGAAGCCACATGCGAACGTGACTCATTCATTACTGTTCACTTTTTTGTTTCCGCTCATCAGCACGGCCCCTATTTCAATCACCCAATACCAAAAACACTAAATTCCTTTTTAAGCCTTATACCAATTTTTTTAGAGTTCAAAATCGTTACATTAAGAAATTGTAAAAGTACTTGTATGTAGAGCAAATGTTGAAAATTTGAAATCGACGAAATAAGAAGTACTCACTTGCATCCAAATGTATAAGGTCGCAAAACCGCATATGAAAATGTTCAATGCTATTAGACTGTTATTACCCACCTGGAATAGAAGAAAAATATGAAGTTTCACATTCTTTCGTCGTCAATTTGAAAACGTACGTTGCATTTGACTAATCATCTTGATCGAAGCTAATCATAGAAAAATTAGAAAGTCTGCTCAGATACCAAATCATAAACTGCTAAATCAGACAAGTGTTATCGGTTAATGTGAAGAGAATATAATAATTAAATTGATTATCGATTTTAATGTATATAAGAAAGCTCCTCCCTAATGTAAGTATTAAATTAATATATTCAAAAACATAGACATTTTTTCCAACTTTAAAAAAAAGGTTAAATTAAGTTATATGGTTCAATTGTTAGTGTTCGAAATGATACGTTATCTCTTATCTGTTATCGTTCCAGTTTTCAGGATTCGGTATTGCTTTTGATATGCACAAATTGAGTAATGTACAGTTTCGACAAGTAAAGTTGCTTTGTTGGCGGAATAACTAAGGTGTTCTATCAATAATAATGTGAGACAGTGAAAAATACAGGGTCCGAGGGTGACGCTACATTCTGCATTGAATAAGCATTAAATAATGCCTAGAACTATTAGGTATTGGAGAGATCGTTTTGCTAGAACTGTTAATGAAAAAATCCCCGTATATTTATAGATCCGTACTCAATGCATGCAATAAGACGTATTCTGATTTTCTTTCACCTTTAGTGAAACCAGGCTAGTATTTCACAAACTATACAATTAATATCAATAACATGTTAGTAGCCCTTACCTTAAATAGAAACAAAAAGAAATAAATCAGGAAGCCCGCTGACAAAAATGATGCCGAGAATGAAGCAATCTTATTCGCAAAAGAAGTCACATTCGGATTCGGTGTTAGTGAGCCTAAAACATGAATGTGCTGGTATCTGTCATAGATGATTTTGCCAGCTGCAAAAAATGTGTTAGCACAATATTATACACATACATTATTTAAAAGTTAATTAACAATTCTTATTTTCAGTCACATCACATTTAACTGTTTTTCTTTCTATTATATAGCTATGATGGAGCTAAGGTCGGTTATGCCATCGCGAAAATCGTTCATCTATAGCTTCAGTTCTTTTTATGTTCTTTTCTTGACAACCTTTTTAATAAACTATTAGAACATGAACTTTCTTGTTTCTCTTTTATTGGCATTATATTCAATAGAGATTTCTAATGACCTTAAAATACAGTACAGCGCTAGTACATTCAATTTGATATTTTCAGCATTTCAGCATTAAGAAAGGTAAGATTTTTATCGCAGATTCTTTCGCGTCAAATGAAACTACCTACAAATAAGATTCACTTTGTAGACGACTATTGGTAAAAACACTATTATGTAAATGTAGCAGAAGAAGGTTGCAGCTTCACGAGGAAATTGTGGAATGAAATGATGGGAGGAAATTAAAGGGCTAATTATAAAACTTTAACTCCCTTCGCTTTCCTCTTCGAAGCCTAAGGTGTCAAGGTGGCATATCGCTTTCCAAACTATGAGATATAAAACAAAAAATAAAACCGACTTTAAAATCGAAAATGGAACTGAAAAGTAAAAAATAATATCTGCTTCTAGATTTGGAAGTCGGGCGGGGTCAAGATTGAAACATTAAATAGATTTACGTTTCTGATCGGTAATAATACGACTTTCAATCTTGACCCACCCGACTTCCAAATCTAGAAGCAGATATTATTTTTTACTTTTTAGTTCCATTTTCAATTATGAAGACGGTTTTATTTTTTGTTTAAAAAAATATATAATCCATTTTAGTGAAAATTACAGCGTACAATTAAACAATAACACAATTGACGGAGAAATCGGTGAACATGCATAATAATAACATCGAGCGTGTCTTTGAAATATGAAGGTTTCCCTCGATTTCCCCGGATTCCACAATCAGATCCTCACTTGGTGTCTCTCCTCAGAAGTGCACTCTTTCGAATAAAAAACAATTTTGGAAATCGGTCCACAATTGATGGAGAAATCGGTGAACATACATAAGAAAAAATACTGTCGAACACAGAACCTCCTCCTTTTTTGAAGTCGGTTAAAAAGGGATCGCGGAAAGCGAAAAAGTTAATTTATATTTTGATAGGGGCTGCCCAGACCAGCAATGTAAGGGTATATACTAATATTATAAAATATCTTAAAGTTTGTTCATTTGTTACTCAATCAAGCAAAAACAGCTGAACAAGTTGGATGGATAAAATTTAGTACACATAGTTTATAACCCGGAGTGAGACATATGATTCTTTTTATTGCGGGAGATTCTTAAAAAACTTAAATCGCAGGGGAAGCTAGTCATAAATATGGTAAAAAGGTATTTGGTGCGTCTGATAATAAACGGTCACCAATTTAGCCGCTTGTGATACGTATTCCTCTACCCTACTTCTTTGTGGAGAGATAGATTGAAAACATAGAAAAAATGGTAGGTTGACAACATCAATAGCTCGCTATAAGAGATGACTTAGAAGTAAAACTGAGTAAAATTAGAACTGTCCAAAATTAAAACTGACTTAATAAACGTTATATAAACAATGACAACATCAGCATGACAATGTCTGACTATAATCACCGTTTTGAAGTGTTATTATAAGTGTTTTTAAAAGTAGATGCAATATAACAAACTAATAAAAAAGGCGTTACAAAAGTAACTGGGTCGATTTCAGAATACTCATGGTAGGTCGTAATTATGTCAAGATTTCTCGGTCTTCGTTCTTATGTTATATAACAGTCTTAGGTAAGGCATTATAGGGCTAATGCTGTCGTTATGTTGAGTAGGATTTGTAACATTCCTTTGAAATTTACACAAAATGTAAAACCTATTAGAGACTATTTTTTCACATCCAATAGATACGGTAGTAAAACTTTATTCATTATTAGAAATAATTATATGATTGCAAACCTTATACAGCAAGATCCCAAGACCGCCAGACCTTACGTATTTTTGTCATGGACAATATTTGGATAATTGAGTAGTATAAGTGTGTGCAATGAACGTATACATAGTTGCATGGGCACTTAAAAATTTTACCCACTTTACTTACAGCCTGAGGTCTGATTCCTACGTATGTTGTAGAGAATATTGTAAACAATGAATATTGTAATTAAATCTAGCGGTATTTGGATCTTGCACTATTATAGATATTACTGAGATATGCGAAAAAAATAAATTAAGAAAAGGTGTCTATGCAAAAAAAAACTTTCTTATCGCCATAAATATACGCACCACCTACACTAATGTTTGTCTGTTCATTGAACCCCATATGTCATTTCAATGATTACGTTTTCTGCTATAGAGTAATGTTTGGGATACTTATGGCAAATGTAGATGATAATAAGAACTAAGACCGTAATTCCCATGTCTGTTCGAAAGGGAGTCTAGGCAAGTATCCTTGTCTAACTATAGTAATATTATAAAGAGGAAAGATTTGATTGTTTGTATTGAATACGCTCCGAAACTACTGGACTGATTTGAAAAAATCTTTCACATTTGGAATCTTACAGTATCCCTGATTTATATTATAGAGTATATTCAAAAAAGTTAGGGTTCGTATGAAAACTTCAATAATGTAACACGACTTGTGAAAAAAATAACCTTATTTCACGTTAGGTTTGGAAGTCATGAAAATACAGCAAAGTGAAGTACATATTTAAGTTTTATAGAGGACATCAATATCTACAAAAATAAAAGTATGTTTAACTTTTACAGATTATAGTTTACCTATGATCTACTAAATCTGGTAAAATTTAAATCCTCGGAGATAATTATAGGACTTATCTAGTTATTGCGTGTTTCGCGCAAATTGTTGCTCTTAAAGTCGGAAATATAATAATTTTTAATATATGAATTTTCCAGACGGGTTTCGCCGCTTTACTATGTACAGTATATCAAATTATTCGAAATAACCCAATAAGGGACTACCATGCTTCGAACATTTCAAATACCAGACGATTTCGAAAGAAGGTTTATGGGCTTTTTGGTACCGCTTTGATAACCATGTTCAATCAACACGAGTCATACATCGTTGGATAGCTCTTTTCAAATGAAAAAGGAATATTACGACCAACCAGATTTTTTCCCGCAGCCTGTACTATGTCAACTGCCCATCTTTTTCTTTGCCTTCCCGGTCTTCTTTTTCCAGCTGGGCCTGGCCATTTGGTTACAAGATTTGTCCACTTTTGATCCTGATATCTTGCTATATGACCTGTCCAACTTCACTTTTGTTTCAAAGTAAACTGCAGGGCATCTGTTATCTTTGTTCCCTTGCGGATGTCTATATTTGTTATTTTTTTTTTGTATTCTTCTTTTAAAATACTGCTTTCAATTGCAAGCTGGTTAGATAGCATTTTGCTATTTTCGTGTAAACCATGTTTGGCATGCATAAGCCAAACTTGCAAGAATGCAAGAGTCCATTATGATATTTTTGAAATTAAGATTGTAATTGCCTTTGATAATTTATTTTTGTGCACAGTATTTGTTCCACTTTGTGTTTATTCTTCTATCAATTTCATTTTCATTACCGTTTATTTCGGAAGATACTAATTTTCCCCGATTTTATCCATGCGGTGACGGTGAAAGAATACTAGTCACCGCCCCTTTTCTATCCGTGGATGTCGTAAGAAGCGACTACCGGAGCTTTAATGCTCACCACAATCTGTGGTTGAGTTTCTCGAACACTGACCATGCAGGGATATATTGTCACGCATGCGCTCTTACGCATGACTTGAAGCAATTGGTTGATCAGCCCACTAGGATTTCAGATGTTCCAAGTCAAGGTCCTTCTGCTCACGACCCACCCACAGGACTATCAGGTTGTGGTAAGAGACCCCTGGGCTCGTCGGATCACTGCCTGATATCTGCCAAAGCGCCACAGGCCAAGCCTTCGCGTCCAACGGTCGTCAAACGAAGGTTCTAGCATTATGCTTATCTGCTTCAGTGACAAGTACCTATCGGCCAGCACCGTTGCTATTACTGAAAAGATTGCAATGGGTATGGATTACAATATTCCTCATTATAATCTCATCAGTAAGGGCACACGTAACCTCGGGTTCAATCGCGACTGTGCTGAAGCTGTTTCGCGTAAGCAAGCGGCATATCGTGCTTGGATCACAGGCCGCGCTCTTAAGGATCACGGGGTCGATTCACTAAAAGCAGCCTACAATTTTGCTCCCAAGGCCTGTAAGAGGGCTTACATCAGAGCGGATGCCCAACGCGTTGCACGTGTTGGTCACGAACTTATAACGCACGGCATCCTATACGCAATAGCTACGAGAGCCCATGCTCTCGTAGCTATTGCGTTGCGCCAAGGCCGTGCAGAAGAACTTCTGCCAGCCCTCGCTGCCACCTCTGAAATGCCCAGATGTAACCCGGTGCCCAAAAAAGGGGATCGCACAGACCTGACAAATAACCGGCCAACAGTCACCTTAGTACAATGTTAAGTCCTGGAAAAGATCTTTAACAACTATCTGACCCGCCACCTAGAGGATCACTCCCTGATTAATGATCGTCAATATGGTTTCAGACCAAAACGATCGAAGGGTGATCTTATAGCGTACTTGACTCATATCTGGGGTGAGGCTATAGACAAGCGGGGCGAGTCGTTGGCTATCAACATTGACATTGCCAAGGCGTTCGACATTATCTGGCACAAAAGCCAAAAGCTTCCGGCATACTGGGTAGCTGACTTCCTGCATGAGCGTAGAATTCGTGTCCTTACGAATGGCAGCAGTCCGTGGTTCATGTAAGTGAATGCCAGCGTGCCTCAGGGCTCCCCACTCCCTTTCTGCTGCGTATCAATGACTTAATTCCTCTTGGGAATATTCATTGCTATGCAGACGATAGTACAGTGCACGCAGGATATCTCGAACAAGTAACGGCTGGAAAGGCGGTAACTAAGGAAAAACGGGA